ATCCTTTTAATTATGTTTGAAATTATGAACATTGCTCAACATCATGAAAATTAAACCTTATTTTCAATAAGCAATCCTGAAAAATATTTGGGGGTGCTTAACTTTTTCCAGGTGTATATATATAATAGATTTTAGGTTGGTTACTGTCAAAATCATTGTGGTTGCACTATGCGAGTATCTTTGTAGTTTATTTGTGTAACTTGAAATGTGATGTACATGTTGTACTAGTTCTGTTAGGAATATTTAAATATTTAGAGTTCAGATACTTTTTTATTATAATTTTGGGAGATTACTAACTGTACAAAAACATTGATAATCAGTCAACCGATACCCTTGTTCTCCCAAGTATTTATTATGGATTTAACTCAAAAGGAAATTAGCTGCTCTTCTATATGTCTCATTAATTCTGTTTCAGCAAATAAAATGAGGATTTTACCCTTGAATTAGCAGCAGCATAGCCAAGGATGAGGATCAGTCCCTCTCCCTTCATCCAGAATCTTAAGATTTTTTGTGTGTTTGTTAATTGTTTCATGTATATTCCTTGCTTCTGGCATAGAGAAATTATTTTTACTTTGTTTAGTCTTCAATGAAACATGGAACGGTGGAAATCATCATTGTAAGAGAAATTGTATAAATTTATTGTTTTTTTCAAAATTCTTTTTTATTATAAAGTACTTGTAGAATGTTCTAAATCTAAGAGAGAGCAGCCCCCAGTAGCAATGTTTTTTGTTTTTTAATGAAGCATAATAACACCCCTTTCAGTGTTGTAATAACAACCCTTCATTTCACCCCACCTCCCCCAAACAAAAATCCTGGCTACACTGCTGATGTTAAGTATAATTTTCTTTCAAAAGGATTGTAGTAAATTAATTTTGATAACTTCTATTTTATAAAAAAACATCAGTTTAATTGCGCGTTGAAGAATACGTTGTAAGTATCGTTTTCTTCATATAACTTTAATTTCTGATTTGTAGTAGGTTTTACAGTTGAAAATGTGTGGCTTGTAAAGAAGGTATTTCAAAAAAATGAAAACATTAAGAAAGGTAACTCAGGTATTTGTTCTCTTAATCATAAAAAATAATTTTTAGGCTTTTATTTTGAAAGTAAAGGTTAACAAATATTTTAAATTTATTTTGACTTTTGTCATGTCAGTCTTGATTGTATGTACCTACATGTATTTACATAAGTCTATATGTATTTAATGTATATACACAAGTCTATATGTATTTAATGTATGTACACAAGTCTATGCATTCAATGTATATATGTATATACACAAGTATGTGTATTTAATGTATATATGTAAGTCTGTGTATTTGATGTATATATGTATATACACAAGTCTGTGTATTTGATGTATATATGCATATACACAAGTCTGTATTTAATGTATATACACAAGTCTATATGTATTTAATGTATACATGTATATACACAAGTCTGTTTTTGTATGTATATATGTATATACACAAGTCTATGTATTTAATGTATATGTATATATACATAAGTCTGTTATATGTATATACATAAGTATGTATTTAATGTGTATATATATATATACATACACAAGTCTATATGTATGTAATGTATATACATAAGTCTATATGTATTTAATGTATATATGTATGTACATCAGTCTATATGTATTTATGTGTTAATCAGAAAACTAAAATACCAACTCGAACATACAAATATGAAAATATAATGACCACAGGCTATGCTTACATGTAATGTTATTGCAATATCACTAGGGTTGTGTACAAAGGTTTGTTCACTAGCTGAGAATTCAGGTGTAACATTAAACTTTTGAAGTTGCACAGTTTGAACTTTTGATTTGTATAATTATTATTACTCGAACACAAATTGTATTAAAATCCACTACCAAATTGTACAAACTAAACACAAGTTGTACTACAATCCAAACTATACATAACACCTCTTTATGGTACTTTTGCGTGTATGGGTATTATTGCCAAAGCAGTACTAAATGCCAAGTGAACATGATGGTGTAAGGAAAGTTATGATAGAATAAGTAAGTTAGCTGTGACTGTTAAATAAAGCTTTGATTTGTCTGAGTCAGCTTTGACTGTTAAATAAAGCTTTGATTTGTCTGAGTCAGATGTGACTGTTAAATAAAGCTTTGTTTACTCTATGTCAGCTGTGACTGTTAAATAAAGCTTTGATTTGTCTGAGTCAGATGTGACTGTTAAATAAAGCTTTGATTTGTCTGAGTCAGATGTGACTGTTAAATAAAGCTTTGTT